GCCATTTTACAGCCGGCTACAATTATTCTCTCAATCGATCATCACGCTTTCCATCTTCGATCAGCAATTGACCCCAAAACTCCGACATCGATCTTCCAATTTCTCGATCTGCCAGCATCGACCTTTAGGATCTCCATCGATCTTCAGGCTCTAACCCTTGCAAGTATCGATCTTCCATGTTCTCGGTTTAATTGTTGGCGTCATTACAGGTACGATTCTATTTTCCTTGCACACCAACTGTTTGATTATATGCTCATAATAGTTTTTGGTATGTATGATTCTATTTTCCTTGCACACCAAATGTATTATTTATCTCCTGTGCTTTGTTAATTCGTTTTATTCTGGCTACCACTATTGCTGCTTGAAACCAATAGTCATGAATTATTAATTATTAATATAAATCAATTGTGAAAAGATATATGATTCGACATACAAATTTTAATGATAGAAGTCAAAATATCTGAAATACCATTAATGTTTTTAATAAAATTTAAATCTCTTTGTTAGTACATAACATGAACATATGTTTGAAGCGATACCTATGTTAGGCGTAATATGGCGAGGTGTTTGATTATATAACTGCTTGCTATGTATCCTCCTTGATGGTTAATGGTTTAGGTTAGTTGAAATAACCCACTTTGTGTAATTTGCAAGTTTCTCAGAATGTTAATAAACGACTTCAATTAAGGAACAATTCACTAATTAACCATCACTCTATAATCATAAATGAATAAGTCGTAATCTTCTTTACTTTTAATTGTACATTAGCACTCCAATATTGCATACCCAAATATGACAACTTAACAATTTGCAATGACAAATGTGTTGGAATTAGAGGCAACAGGTTTGAAATTCTTAATGGACTCACCTGTGATACGTGTTCTGTTGCTGTTACTCTAAATTTGACAACTTAACAATTTGCAATGACAAGTGTGTTGGGAACACTACCACCACCTATCTGTAAGAAGGTTTGACTTAAAAAACAAATAGGAAATATTCACATTTTGCATCCCAAAATGGCAAGAAAACAGACAATCTTTGATAACAAATTCAGACAAGAGAAGATAAAAGGAAATTCATTCTATGCAGGTAGTTGGTACTTGAGGTATTATTAACTTTTTAGAAACACCAAATTGAAAGTACTATGTTTTACTTTTTGTGTATGCGAACATTTATTTTTCAAAAATGCAACATCCTGCATACATTTTACTACATTTTACTGTCATTATATATACTAATTTGTTTAAATAAAGTGTATATTTGTTACCTTGCAGCTTCTACACAAGGTTGGAATATGCTTCTACACAGCGCTGAACTCAATTATTTTTTTTAAACATGTTATCACTGTCTGTTTGTGTGTAATTATGTATGTCATTTGTATTTGTCTGTCTTTAATTCTGTTTTATGTGTATGAATGTGCTGCAGCCGGAACAACATCCGTTGTTGATGTGGTTTTTTTAGTTTCTTGTGGAATTGAGTATGGTTGTGGTTATATTCAAAGATCATATGGACATAAACACCATCATTACAAGCAAAAATATATTCAATTGTCTTAAAAATAACAACTTAATTAAAAAAATTAACACTTTTCGTTACACTATTTATTACAGGAATATAAAAGTTTAACGGTTTCGAACAGGATATGGATTCTACGGACCCTAAAGAAAGACGAAAACATAGAAAATTACATATGGATAAAAGAAAATCCAATGTTACATCTACCATGCCAATTGGTAATCGTTTGTATACAATTGAATGTTTTATATTGTAATTTGAGAGGTTAATATCAATTAATTTATACAAAATATTGTATAATATCCAATCGAATCTTTATGTCATATAACTAAAATATTTTCTTATTTATTTTTGTTACTTTTATATATCAGATGTGGGTTATCGGCAACAACATATAATTTATTCAGATAATTCTACATTTGTTACCCGTTTTGATGAAAATGTTAACCCAAATATAGCATATGGATATCAGCACACAAGTTTCCAATCTTCTTCCAATGTTAATAGCAAAGGTCCATTATATAACGATCCCAAGGTCAAAAGAAAACAAAGAAAAATGTATTTGGATAAGAGAAAATGTAATGATATGACCACCACGCCAATAGGTATTCCATATAGTATGTAAAATTTATTCGTTTATCCGAATATGTTTGTTACTTTTGAACTAATTGATATGTATTTGTATTTACTAATGTTTTTATTTTATAGCTAATCGTGGTCGTGTTCAACAAAATTTCGAATCTACTTCCAATTTTAATTTAAGAACTCCGTTATCTAACATTTCCAACGGTACGAATACATTCCGTTTAATATTTTTTATTTTATATGTTACTTATGTCGATTTTTTGCATGCATTATACATGTTTCAATTTATGTTTGTATCCGATTCATTTCTAAATTCAATGCTAACAATCAAACATTGTCCACCACGCCGACATGTATTGTATACATAATTTATGAAAAATACTAGGTGCAAAACCCGTGTACTACACAAGTTGATTACAAAAAATAAAATATAAAAATGTAAATAATGAATATTTTTAAAATAAAATTTTGAAGTAAGGAATGAAATTTTTTATATAAGCTAGGAACGAACGAATTGCCATTTATTATAATATTTATCCAAATCAATTTGTTTCTTTTTTTAACTACTTAATACATATCTGTAGTTACTAATGTTTTTATTTTATAGCTAATCTTGGTCGTGTTCAACAAACTTCCGAATCTACTTCCAATTTTAATCTAAGAACTCCGTCATCTAACAATTTCAACGGTACAAATACATTTCTTTTAACATTTTTTATTTTTATATGTTACTTATGTCGATATACATTCATTATGTTTATATCCAATTAATTTCTAAACCCGTGTACTACACAGGTTGATTACAAAAAATAAAATATAAAAATGTAAATAATAAATATTTTTTAAAATAAAATTTTGAAGTAGGGAATGCAATTTTTTATATAATGTAACATCCCGAAATTCAGGTACAACTATTTAGCCCTTCTTTTATTCAAAGTGTCAAGTTAAGCCCTTAAGAGGAATTGGTAGCAAATGAGTACGCTGGGCGTACTCAAGAGTACGCTGCGCGTACTCATGCGCTTATTTTGGACGCGGACTCGCCTGAGTACGCTGGGCGTACTCAGGGTTACGCTGGGCGTAATGTGTCCAGGTGCAAACCCTAATTTCTGACTTGTGCCCTATATATTGGATGCTAAGGCTCATTTCTCAGCCTCCATAGCAGTGAGTAAAACCCTAAGAGAGAACTTTTCATCGTTCTTAGTGAGTGTGTGTGATTTTGGAGCTAAAAGTGCCTTGGTGTGCTAGTGAAGAAGAAGAAGAGGAGTTTGTGGAGACTAGAGTTTGAAGTGCAAGTTTGGATCTGAGATCTACAGAGGAAGGAGCTGCATTTGGAGGTATAAAGTTCAAAACTTTCCTCTTCATTTGGTTTGTTGCTTCATGGACCATTTTAGGGTTAAAAGTCCCAAAGGTGGAGACTTTATGAGCGTAATGTGCTCCATGGACCTAGATCTGTCCCATTTCAGTGGTATTTGTGTTATAGATCCATAAAGTTCCCATCTTGGTCGTGGATATGAGATCATGCTTGAGTATTGGGCTTTCTAGTGTTAGGAAATTGTATATTTTGGGTGTTAGTGACTTGTTCAGCCATGCAAAGGCTTAAAGTCATCGACTTTATGGATTAAGAGGCTTAAAAATGGTCAGATCTAAAAGCTGGACGTGAGTCTTAACTGTTTAAGACCTCAAGAGCTAAGGGACTGAAACTGGGATTTACGCCGGGCGTAATCCCAATACGCGCGGCGTACGGGGTGGCGTTCCCCGATTCTGAGAGACTGCCGGGTACGCCCATCGTACACATCTGGTACGCGCAGCGTAACCCGGAGGGTTGACTTTTGGTTGACTTTTAGGGTTTGGTCTATAGTGGGGCCTTTGAGTTATGAGAGGGGTAAAATGGTCTTTTACCCTTCTGAGAGTACTAAGAGGAGGAATAGTCTAGCCTTGAGAGATGTATTGATTGAGAGTATTTATTTTACATGATTAGGCGGAGGCTAGACCTGATTTTACAGAGTTCGAGCTTTACCGAGTTACCCGAGGTGAGTCTTCTCACTATACTTTACCTAGAGTGGTAATTAGAGCTATGAGACAGAGTATGCTGTATGCTTTTGCATGATGTGATTTCTATGTGTTATATGCTATGTATGTTACAGATTTTTCAGAGTTAGGACCGGAAGGTCCACAGAGTTAGGGCCAGAGGGCCCACAGAGTTAGGGCTAGAGGGCCCACAGAGTTATGGGACTGGAGGGTCCCATAGAGACACCTTGACCAGAGGGTCATCAGAGTTATAGCCTTGAGTGGCTAATATGTGTTGTGTGTGGTATTTTGGGGAACTCACTAAGCATTTATGCTTACAGTGTTGTGTTATGTGTCTCAGGTACCAGCGAGGATCGCGGGAAGGCGCCGGCTTGATCAGTACACACACGGGGAGATTTTTATTATGATCTTGGGATATGATGTTATGATTGACTATGTGATCCAATGGTGTTTTTATAACGATTATGAATGAAAATGTGTTTTATAAAATGTGAAAAATTGTTTTGAAAATTTGGGTGTTACATATAAGCTAGGAACATATGAATTGCAATTTATTATAATATTTATCCAAATCAATTTGTTTCTTTTTTAACTACTTAATACATATCTGTAGTTACTAATGTTTTTATTTTATAGCTAATCTTGGTCGCGTTCAACAAACTTCTGAATCTACTTCCAATTTTAATCTAAGAACTCCGTCATCTAACAATTTCAACGGTACAAATACATTTCTTTTAACATTTTTTATTTTTATATGTTACTTATGTCGATATACATGCATTATGTTTATATCCAATTAATTTCTAAATTCAATACTAACAATTAAAACATTGTCCTCAGGAAATGGACAATATTCTGTATTATTTGATCATATGAGGTCATCGACTTCATCAGGAATCACTCGAGATTCTTCCATAAATTTATCGTTCGGGAATCAAACTTTAAAAAGGAAGAATGCAAATATATCTGCTATACCCTTTCTTGACTTGACATCAGATGAAGACTTAAATGATCATCACATTCTTAAAGATGTAATCTCAGGTCTCTCAAAAGGTAATGTTCCTTGGCTATAACTCCATCTATTTTTAATTAAACTAATTCTCTATTAAACTTTAATCTTTTTCAATCTTTTAACAACTTTTTTATATATATTAGATTACTTGGACCATGGTGATGAGACTCTTGTGTGTGCTATCTGTCATGCAAAATTATGGAAAGATGAAGCCCATCGAGGTAATAAATCTGGGAAGAACACATATTTTTCCATGTGTTGTGGTAAAGGCAAAGTTGAGCTTCCTGAATTAAAAGAAGCGCCTCCAGAATACCTAAATCTCTATCGTCATCTTGATCCCAAATCCAAATATTTCATGAAGAATATCCGTCGCTTCAATTCGATGTTTTCATTTACTTCGATGGGTGGAAAAATTGACTCTTCCATTAACAAAGGCAATGCTCCGTACACTTTCAGACTTAGCGGTCAAAATTATCATAGTATGGGAAGTCTTATACCTTCATATGGATCCAAACCAAAGTTCTCTCAACTTTACATATATGATACTCAAAACGAAGTTTCAAATAGGCAAAACGCTTTCAGGTTTGTCTTCATATTTATTTTTGTATGCTTTTTTTAAATTTATTATCTATATATATTTAATTATTTAATTACTGAATATTTCATACGACCTTTATGATTAACAGTAAAGAAAAAGATGGGTGTATATCACCTTCTCATTCACTTGATATCGAGACCATACAATTCTTGAAGGTTATGTTGGATTCAACGAATGAATTGGTTAAGTGGTATAGAATGGCAAGAGATTGTTTTTCTGAAAATCCTCATATGGATTTAAAGTTACGTCTTATAGGAAGAAGACAAAAAGATGGACGGACGTATAACCTACCTACTGCTTCTGAGGTAGCTGCCTTGATTGTTGGTGACATTGGTGATTCGATTGATAATAGAGATATCATTGTAACAACTCAATCAGGAAGTCTACAACATATAAATGAATTACATCCTACTTACCTTGCTCTTCAATACCCACTACTCTTTCCTTATGGAGATGATGGCTATAGAGTTGACATCCCTCATAGAGGTGTTACGCCTTCAACGGATACCAAACGACGCAACTGTATAATGAGAGAATTCTTTGCTTATAGAATTCAGGACAGAGTGAATATTTTTTCATTAGTTTTGAATTCAAAAAGACTTTTTCAACAATTCCTGGTTGATGCCTATACGATGATCGAAAGTGAGCGGCTATATTATGTACGCAACCAACAAAAAGTTCTTAGATGCGAATCTTATGAAACTTTGCGTAGCCTACAAAGTCATGGAAATACTGATATCTCCAACATCGGAAAACGTGTGATCTTGCCTTCTTCCTTTACGGGTGGTGCACGGTACATGATGCAAAACTATTTAGATGCCATGTCTCTTTGTAAGTGGTATGGGTACCCGGACTTTTTCATAATTGTAACATGTAATCCAAAGTGGCCAGAAATTAGAAGGTTTCTTAAGGATACAACGCTCAATCCCAAAGACAGGCCAGATATCCTATCTAGGCTATTTAAAATGAAGCTCGATTCGTTGATTACAGACTTAAAGACAAATGCATTATTAGGTTCGATCCAAGCAGGTATGTTATATAACAACTATAATTTTAACATGAACAGTTTGGTTTCCAAAAATGCTTTTGAAAATCTGTCTGCTAATGGTAGCAAAGATTCATCATGCATGTTGTATTCTGAGACCGATGAGTTTCTTTTGAAACATGACTTCAAACCCATTACCGAAATCCAAGAAATCACAAAGGTATTCTTTTTTTTTTTTTTTAAGTTTTACCTAATTTCAATTGATTGTATTGTAAAACAACTTCTAATTTTTATAGGTAAGCCGAGTAATTGTGCTTGGTACAGTTAAACGTGTGTGCACGGATTTTTCATGGTATTATTGGGGATGTAAATCGTGTCATAAGAAGGTTGATGAAGATATTATGATGAACATTGAGCTAAATGATGGATCAACCGGCAAAAAAGCGGTTGTGTGTTCATCCTCAGTCTGCAACAATAAAGTTGTTTCTGTTCTTCCTAGGTATTGAACACATACTTTATGCTTTATCTTTGTTATTATTTTTTTACACATTAATGTAATATTTCATTATTGTTTTTTAATATGTTTAGGTTTAAAATCCCAATTAGAGTCCAAGATCGTACAGGAGTAATTTCATTGACTCTTTTTGATGGTGATGCTAATAGGCTTTTAAGAAAAAATGCACAAGAATTGCTGGAAATTTTTAATGAGGTTGGGTCTGTTTTACTATACAACTTTATTGTTTTTCTCATGTTTTATCTTACACATTATTCAATTGCATTTGTCTTGCAGGATGGTAATACTGCTATTTTCCCCGTTGAAATCACTGATCTGCTTGAGAGGAGATTTGCGTTTCTGATTGAAGTTTCTGAATATAATTTGAAAAATAAAGTTCAAGGGTATTCAATACGTAAGTTGACTGCTGACTGTAAAATACTTTCTGAACTTGAAAAGAAGTTTACAATTGAACAGGTATCAATTTTGCACAATTTATTTAATCCCTATAATATTTATATTGTTTAAGTAATTCTTACTATGTTCTTATTTGCAGCATGTTGATTCCGACTCTTTCAACACTCCAACCTTTGAAGTCACATCTCAAGAAACTGCCAATTTGAAGGTGGTATTTATTTTACATTTAAATTTAAATTTAACTTCATTTGCATTACTACTTAACTAACATTTTTTATGTACTTCAAAAAAAGGATGCAATATCATTCACGGGAGATAATATCACCCCGGCCTCTAATGTTGAGAAAAGCACAGCGACAAGTTCGTTGGCCAAACACCGTTTTTCTAAAGTTGTATCTCCAAATGCAGAGCTAAAGCACAATCTTTTTGAAGTTTACGATGTTGATGACCCACCAGCAATGTCATCGACAAAAGTGCGTTCAACTTTCATGGATGATGGCTTTTCGGCACATGGCAAGATGGAACTTTTGATTCCAAAAATAGAGAAATAAATGAATCTTTAAGCATTTAAAACCACTTGGATATTTTAAGTACATTGTCCCTTTTAAAACTATTTCAACTTTGGGTTTTTCTTTGTGTGGGTTTGTTTTGCTTTGATGGTTGGAACAATTTGATATTATTTTATTGTGTTTGAATTACCTTTATGGAGTTAATAAGATTATTTTAGTGAAAATTGCATTGTGTTTTTTCTATTCAGTTTTTCAAGTTTTTTTTTTTCATATATTTGTCACTTATATAACTACTACATTATTCAGAAATACAAAAATGTTACCATTATAATAATTTACTTTTCTTATTCTTTGGTAGAATGCTCATGTTAATTAAACCAACAAATATTTGTTTTATAGATACGTTAAAGGGTTGATTTTTTTTTTTCAAATTTTTTCATCATTACTTAAAAAACGCAAAAAAGCAAATAAAAAACCAACTTTAAGAAAAGTATTCCCTTTATAGCACATATTAGCTTTCTATTTATTCCAATATAATAGAATTTTATGATTTTATTGTATTTTATATGTGTGTTTTAACAAAATACACAAATTGCAACAAATTTGTTTATTTTGCTCATCTCATAAAAACTACTTTATACTATGTCATAATACTGCATTGTATCGTTCTTTTTTATTATGCTTTTTGTTTTTACACCATAAGAGCATCATACTTGTGTTTGATAATGTTTTTACACCATAATGTATTATGTGATACAAATGAAACTATGATGCTATTAAGGGATAAAAATGCAAATATTCATTTCATGTAATATCTCCGTGTAGTACACGGGTCTCACACCTAGTTGCATAATATTTATTATAGAAAACAAAACATGTACAACATTAAAAGAAACCCATGACTAAATTCTCCTTTGACAATTTCCTTTCTAAAAGAATAACCTGATGCAGGAACTTTGAGAGGCTTCAGGGCATGGAAGGAGGTTGCTAGAGCTGTCAGAACCTGCACATGGCAAATCGGTAACTTAACATGCAATTCAATAAAGAAATATGTTTAAAAATTTTCTATTGTTTTGAACACCTACATGATCAGAATGTTTTGAACACCTACGGCTTTCCATTTCTTTCTATTACAACATTATACTTTTATTTTATTTTTTCCTTATTATTGATGCATCATATGATAAAAAAAATCTACCCAATTCCAACGTTATACTTCCAATCTTTTTCTTCTTACCACATCATACTTTGAAAGATCAACCCAATTATAACAACGAAATTGCTATAATAACTGAGTAGATTTTTCTTGGATTTATCCCTTTATTTAGAATCACACATCACAAAACAAAACCATCTCTATATCAATTAAGCTTTTTTATACTCGGTTTTGGCAGAAATGAAAATGTCAAAGCAAAAGAAACACTAGACATATCATCATCATGCAAATGAAAAAGAAAAACAGACAACACAAACCCCATTTACAAGCTGGAGGCTTCTCCTTTGGATGCTTGGAGCTGTAATGATCAACAAGCTGCTTCTCATTTGCTAACTGCACCTGAAAAGTCAAAACCCCATTTACAAGAACATAGTTCTAAGAACAAAATCAATAGCTGCTCAACTCCTCCTCCTCCTTACCTCTTATTTATACTAAACTAACAAGTAAAATGACTAAAAGACCCCTAGCCCAAGCCTTGACCTGTTTGTCCTTATTTATTTGACCAGTTGAATTCCCCTTAATTTTCATATCTAACTCATAATACCTTTGGTAAATTGATAGCCTATAACGGATGAAGACTAAACTTAGTAACAACAAAGTTAAGGAGGAAAAAAATCATGGGAAATTGCTAACCGGAGAAAGTGCCTTCTCGTGAAGGGGGGAACACTTTAGAAGTTTTAAAAGGGGAGTCATGTGCGATGCTTGACGTTCGCTATCATTAACATTACAAGTTGTGGCAGTAAATATTTTTCTAAAATCAGCTCAATTTTTCTTTGGAAGAGGGACCAAAAACGTTATAAGAACCTTAAATCATGACCAAAATTGGAAGAAAATAACCTTTTGGAGACCAAATTTGCAAAAATCAATTATACTCAGGGACCAAAAATGCAAATTTAATAAACTACCTGAACAAACACATCAGTATGAGTTTTCCCCTCATACAACATCAACTCTGCTTTTGCTCCTACTCTTTGAAGAGTATCCACAAACGTTTTACTATAAACATCAACACACTTATATATTATTATTTTTTTTAAAAAAAAAAACTAAATTGAAAAAATAACAAAAGACTCACACCTGCAGTCTGCTGGAATGGAATAATCTGCAGTACCATGAAAAAGAATAATTGGAGGCAAGAGAGAAACTGCTTTTTTATTGTTGGCTGAATTCACAGGATACAAGAAGAAAAAATGAACATTCTTAAAACATTCATGTACCTGTAAAAGCTGATTGAATTATGATAACAACCACATGTAGTGCAAGAATGAAAAATTCATAACTTTTTTTTGTATGTATTTATCAAAGATATGATATATTTCTTTGTCCTCTTATATGCCATTTTGTGTTGAAAAACTTCATTCATTCCGAATTATGGCAAAGTTTCTTTTATTATGGGGTTATATTAACAAATTGACAGGTAAAAAATAATAAAGTACAAATTTTTGAGGTTGCAAAAACTCAAATTGCAGAAAACCCCACATTGCAAAACAAATAATTTAAGAGCCTATTCTCTCTGTTGACTTTGCCTATACAACAACAGAAGTCATGCTATTGAACACATTTCATGAGTTACAGAGGAATCTCAATGGCATTCTTGGATTCTTGATGGGCTCCAATGGGGCCATTATAGAAGGAGCTCATGTCACTGCACCTCTGTTAAACTCTGTTTAGATTTTTTTGATATGTTGTTTTTTTAATTGCAAATTGTTATTAAAGCTTCATAAATTTCTGTAACGTACAATTGACAGCTTCAATGACACACATTATAGAATGGGAAGAAGCAGTTTTGAATTTTTACGTTAAAAGATCATTGCGATTATCATTCAAAATTCAACAGTTACTGGATACATATATGGGGTTTTCACACACGGATTTTAGGATAAAGTTGTTATAATCCACTAGATTATATCAAAAGTTAGCTACCTTTTTGAAAATTGAGGTTACTTATCTGCTGTATTTTTGTCTTCAAGAAAGATAGACGAAAGATATTTATCAAATACACATTATGTGAATATTCATCGATTAACTAGACATGCTACATCTTCAAAATAACCAATAAAATACGCAAGTAAAAGATCGTTTAAGCGAATCAATGTTATCTGCATTATATAATTTTGGTAACAATCTTTATATTTCATCTCTATATCTTGGTTAATGATAAATAATTATCTTTTAAATTAAATCAGGAAACTAATTTCTGGAGAATATTTTCAAAAAGATTACTCACCTCCCATAATACTGTACAAATTATATAAAGTTATCCTTTTTTTTTTAATATTAAAAGTAGACAAAATGGAAAATACCTGTAAAAAAGTGACTTGTATGGGCCTCGAGTGTTTAAATGTTCAGCCAAATAAGCCCAAATAAGCTTTTATCTGAGAAACACTCCATGTAGTACGCTGTGTTGCATCACACTCAATAATTGTCTGCTCCGTAAGTGCACAAGCTGCAATATGTGCACCAGCTGATTGTCCCATCAGGTAAATCCTTCAAAATTACCATATTTCAATATTCAAAATCCAAAAGGGTAAATTAGTAAATTAGTAAAAAGTAAAAAGCATATAATATACCTACCTATTGGGATCACCACCATATTCAGAGATGTTATTGCATACAAATGAGATGCCACTAAAAGAGAGCAGCCCTTAATGAGAAATTCATTTTCAAAACACTAACAAAAGCATGATCTTACGTACATAACGTTTTGGTTGATTATTTGTTGTTTATTTCTTGTCTGTCTGCTTCATACTTGCTATGTTCTTTCTTCAACTGCAGACAGAAAAGCAATCTCCAGTTACTGAAACCCAAATCCATTAATCTACTAAATATTATTATAAGTATAAACAGGGAACATGTGATGCAATTAATTCATCCATCCAGTAAGGCATTACCAACCACACAGTCCTCTCATCAAATTACTATAATAATCTGAGCTCTTATGTGAAATACCTTTTATAACCCTGACCTGGTTATCGTCAAGTCATTCCCAGTTCCAGCAGGTAGAATGGCTACAGGAGGGGGTGAAACGTAATTTTGCTTCTCAATTGCATCCAATACCCACCCTGCTGTCCCATCTCCTCCACAGACAAGAATTCTGAAATGAGGTACTCTTCTGAATAGATACAGACCAACTTCTGGCCCTTCTGTTGAACTCAACTCAAATATCTACAAAAAGTTTCATCAAGATTTTAGAAATTTTGGTCAAAAGATAAATCAAGAATCAATAAGTATGAAGCTATGAACCTGAACAGGGTTCAAAAGAATATTCATTCTTAGTCTGATTGAATCACCACGTTTAGTAGCACCACTTTTTTTGTTGATGAAAACAAGAAGTGGTCTTGCATCAGGACGCAAGTTCACAAGCTCATATCTCTGCATCATTTGCACCTTTTGGGATTCATCTCTCTGATCTTTCCTGAAAGTCAACTTTTTGTTGACCATGTCACTGTTACTATTCCCACCAACACCATCATCTTTAACATCATTATTCCCATCTGGTGTACTTTCTGTAGACGATTCCCCTATACCTTTATCTTTATCTAAATTCACTCGATTGAAATTACCTTTGTTTTTCTTACTTTGACTTGTGATACTTGCTAGAACATAAGAAGCAATCTTATTGGCTCCATAAGTAATGGAACTCAAGATTCCACCAGATGATGATCTACCAAGTCCTTTAACATAAAGAGGGGATAAAATCAATCTTTTAAAAGGACCCATGTCACAAATATCACCTGTTTCACGATACATGCTGCTATGACAATCAACATGGATTAATCTTTGACACCATAAACAACACCATATAGGTGATCCACCAAGGAAAGAAGCACTACATGGTTCTTCACAATGTGTACAAAAAGATGACCCCTCTGGTTGATCTATCACCTCAGTCCACCTTATAGCCCATTGGTGTAAAACCTGATAAATAAATCCAACAAGACAATAAATGTTGGGATATTATCCCAAAATCATACAAATGATACATAAAGCAAAAGAAGCTTTAAGGACTCAGACCTGAAGATGTTTAGGGGTGCATGGTTGACCAGGGAAACTGGGATGGATGAGATAAAGCTAGGTGGAGGCAGACAATCTAGGGAAGGGAAGAGTCGCACATGGTGGAGCAGCAGTGTAAGGCGCAAACAACATATTCGTGATTCTCTCTCCCAAAATTCTGAAACGATAAGTTGTTGGATAAACAACGTAGTTTTCTAAATCTTGGGATGAATCGTAGTTGTAAAGGTCAAAGTGAGAAATCTAAAAACCTAGAACTACTGAATCAAATCAAGGTTACCTTCTAACTTCGATTTAAAAAATGAGGAAATTAGGGTTACCTTCTAGCTTCGATTTGAAATTGGAGAAATTAGGGTTACCTTCGACATTGAATCAGTTACATTTGGAGCCAAATCTCCCACAAATATCGATAGATCTGAACCAGTGCTTTCTCCACGCTTTTCTCCGGTGCTAAAACTCGCTCAGTTTAACCGGAAAGCTTGATCAGTATTTGGCATCGTGGTTCCATTGTAGGTCTGGAGGATTTTCTCAGCGGATGAATGAGAAAGAAACTCGATGAATCCATAACGTTCTGATTGGCCAGTCTGTTTGTTTCGTATTAGTTTTATAGATTGAACCTGTAAATTTAATGAATAGAGTGTCACGAACGCCGTTTTGCGAGAAGCATGACTGGAGATAAGTTTCCCCCTTATCTACTAAACGGATCGGAGAAGAGGGAGAAGGAAGGAGAGGGGAGAATCGATTGCTAAGATGAAAGATAGAAACAGGTAGAAAAGCGGGTTTTGAAAATTTTGGGGATTTCGATTTCCCCCTTATCTACTAAATGCGCGTTTCTTTAAAATTATAAAGTGACACTTACAGAGGACGCGCATTTAACATACAGCGCCCTCCGTGTTTTTTTTCTTATGACACTAATTTAAGGGCACGCAATAATACGTGACCTAAATTCCTAAATTTTTTGAAGAGATGACACTTTTTTAATGTCACTCTCTTTTGCGTAACATAAATCAACGAGTGTCGTGATTTGCGCGTCATAAAAGGGTCTTTTTCTTGTAGTGAAAGTTGATGTTGGAATGTCATAACTTATGACAACACAAAAGAGAAGGTCAAATTTGATGTTGGTGATTCTAAGGAGAGACAATAAGTGATTGTATTTGTAACTACTTTGTTGATGACCTAAGATGCAAATGAAATGCTAACAAAACATATTTTAGAATTCAATCTAAAGGCTTTGATGGAAACTAAAACACTAAACTCAAATGCAAAAAAATTAATTAAAAAAAAGATGTAAAAATGTCTTCAAAACTGAAACTGAGAGATGCTACAGCAGCTCCTCCCTTGCTGCTCAGCAGGTGTTACCCAAACAAGACTGTCGACATAATCAACAACTTTAACATCATCATCATTACCAAGCTTGAAGATTTTAGTATTGGCTGCAACCGGATCGTATAAAGCATGGCTAAATCCTGAAACTTGAAAACTAACTTGAAAAAGAAACTTATTTTGTAATGTAAATCCATATGGATATATATAACCTCTAAACAAAGGAAAGACATGCTGTTTCATCCATGACTTAGCCACCCATATTCATCCATAACCCACACCACACACTCATAATCTGGGAGGGTCTTTGATATCACACATAGTTTTCCAGCCAAAACTCCTATGATCGTTGAGACATTATTCACATTATCACTGTTGACAGAATCTGGAAGAGTTATCTCACTGAAAGTCTCTGCACCCAAATCAAATGCCAATATGGTTTTTGAAACCAACTCCCCTAAATAATAACCACCATGCCAATGAAGATGGCCGGCATGGCCATCTACACAGAGATCATCAAAATCGTAAATATTTTGGACATGCGATGGAACACTTTGAGTGATGAACTTCCAGGAACCCTTTCTCATGCTATAAGTCTCAACCGGCAGCCACTCCATATAGGCAATTGCGTTTGGTGATATCAAAAGACGTCGTGTAATCTTCACAACTTTATAATCATCAGTTTTGGGATCAAATCCAAATCAAAAAAACTTTTGGATGGAATGGGAGGGCATAGAATATGGTGGGAGAGTTATCAAGGCAGAGAGGGAAGGGTTCCATATATAAATGTCCTCAGAACCATGATCTGATCCATAAATAAAATAAGAATCAGGATCCCTTTCGCACAACATATGTTTGGGCTTATGATTTGATCCGTATTTAAAGCATATTAATCCGTTAATAGATCCAATGACTTTGCCACGACTATTTTCAGATTGGGGTTTAAGTGGGAGCTTGATGAAATTAGCGAGTTCCAGATGGGGAGATCGATAAGGGCGTGTTGTGAATGGTTTGGAGTCGAAAGAAAATAGCTTGAAAAAAAACAAGAGAATTCCATCGTTTTTGTTGTTTTGGATTGAACGATGAAGGTGGGATTTTATGAAAGAGGGTTCAGATAATAGTGTATTCCAAGATTTGGAGAGACATCTCATCTGAGCAAGCTGTTTAGCCGGTAACTGAATGAATATGTTTAATAAAATGTCGTCTGGGAAGTTCCACACAGTTGCTCGGTGTTGTTTTGAACAGCCTAGAAAATCCTAAAGAAAATCCACAATAACGAAAAACAAAATAATAATAATAATAATAATAATAATAATACGAGAAATTTTATAATTCTAATAATTTCGGCAATAAGAAAGTAGACAGTGCCGTATTACCATATAAAATAAGTAAATAACCGAGAGCCGAGAACAGTTGCAAAGGCGGTGCGATAGCAGGAGGACAAAACGTCGCGACGGAGCGGCGAAGTTTGGCGAAACAGAGTTTCCAAAAAAGCAGGTCACCGCGCTCACCTGTGACTATTGGATACCAGACCCAGGGTTTGAAGAAATAAACCAAATATATCAAATCCTCATTACTTGGTTAAAAGTAAAAAATCTAAAATTTCTAATATTATTGTAATATTGTGCATATGATCTCAACTCAATCCAAATCAAATTAAACTTTAAAAAAATAAAAATAAAATAACTCTATAGCAACTGGAATAAGAGGTTTCATTACTCGTTATTATTATCCAACTATTAAACTGTAAATTTTTGTCTCCAATAGTTACTGTTTTTTTGGTTAAATTTAAAAACTTTCCAACTTAGCCACTTAGGCCGACACAGTGGTGATGGTGGTGTCTAAGGGTGTTAATCGGGTCAACCCGATGTGGTTTCGAGTTAATCGGGTTTTTTGAAATGTGTTCTTTTGACTTAAACCCGACGCTATTAAGTGTGGGTTATTCGGGTGTCCGGTCAATAAGGTCGGGTTAACTGGGTTTGTTGGGTTAAAATGTTATATAGTAGTAGGGTGATCTTGTAATCTAACATGTATTATTCTCTTTATGCAAAACATTTTGTAAATTGATGATATATATGACTATAATAAAAAGATGATAAAAATTGGGAGCTAGTAAACACATGTTCATCATGATAGCAACTAAGATAAAATAGAAAGTGTCATTATATACCAAACAAGCATGACTAACTAATAAGATGACAATTGAAATAAATTTTGATACAAGTTAAATTTTATATAAACTATCAATTAATTCCTTATACATGTTTTCTTATTAAACAGGTGATTTTAATACTCTTTAACCACATAATAGATTTTTTTTTATTTTATTTAATATATTTGATAAACTATTGAACTTGAGTTATTTGCATACATGAAAAGTAAACCGCCTCAACTTTGGTGTTTTCTATTTCTATAAGTAGTACATCATCCCAAAAAAAAGGTTAAAGGAATAGGCTTGATGCCAGATCCACTTACATGAAAGACCCAATATGTACCCTTCTAGAAAAATATAAAGTAAGATTAATGAATGTAAAATAAGCCAAACTATATGCATATCCATAAAAGTAAATAAGTTTCTGATTTCATGGAAGATATGGTTGTACCGTATAAGTGGAGAATGCAATTCGTAAAAGTGTTGTAGTATGCCCTTATTCGGGTTAATGAGGTTAACCTGCAACCCAATATTTTTTTTAAAAAGGATCAACCTTAAACCCGATCCTAAATGCAATTCAGGTATATTGGGTTCACCCGAATAATCCGATTAAGAATTTTGTGTTAACATAAAATACTATATAAAGCCTAGCTCGAACCATATTATTGAATAATCAAGATGTAAAAGAACTTCATACCTTAATCTATTGATGTGTCTTATTCTTGATGCAAGATTTTAACAATGAACAAGAACGTCTGTATCATCTTCCTCAATAAAGTTCCATTAGTTTCTTCCAAGCAATCTTTGATGATGGGGATCAATGAGAGAAAAATAAATTATTGTGTCATTTGTCTGTTAGGAACCAACTACATTTTATACCCAAAACATTAGAGTGGCCATTAAACTCTAATAATATTAAACACATTTAAGTTATTTACGAATAGCCTTATGCAACTTACAAACATAAATACCCACCTTAGTATAGAATAATTAGAATATTATATATTTAATTTTGAATATTCTTACAATCTCTCACATGAGTATTACATGCTTGAAAATATATTGCAAATATTTAGGCATACTGTTATACATTTTTACTATGTTTCCTTAAGGACAATCTGCTTCGTCTTGTGCATAGGTATTGAACCAAGGCACCATTGATCATATTTCAAGGATGACTAAACTGATAACATTGTCATATGATTATATCAAAGAGAAATTACAAGGGCTCTCAGAGAAAAGCATAAAGACTACAAGGAATAAAACGGATATAAATACTAGCTAGACAGAAACCCTAATGGGCTAAAGACAAAAAAAAGGGGCCCATAAACAAGCGGGCTAATAATATAGACTAACATCCCCCCTCAAACTCACAATGCCGCAGCAATAAGCATTGAGAGTTTGTCACATAAGAACCGAAACCGAGAAGCCGATAAAGTCTTCGTAAAAATATCCGCAAGCTACAAAGTTGATGAAACAAATGGAAGCGAAATGGTCCCAAGCTGCAGATGATGACGAGTAAAATGACAATCAATCTCAATGTGCTTCGTCCGCTCATGAAAAACAGAATTCTTCGCAATTTGTATCGCACTTTTATTATCACAATTCAAGGGAGTAGGTGAAGAAATGTAAACTCCCATATCCGCAAGCAGCCACCGTAACCAGATAATCTCACATGTAGTTACAGCCATAGCACGATATTCAGCCTCTGTGGAAGATCTAGAGACAACATCCTGTTTCTTGCTCTTCCATGAAATAAGAGACTCTCCAAGAAATACACAAAATCCAGTGGTAGACTTACGATCATGACGATCACCATCCCAATCAGCATCACTATAGGCACGTAACTCAAGAGAAGATGTCGAGGGAAACAAGAGAGTCTGAAACTGAGTGCCACGAAGATATCTCAGAATACGAAGAACAGCTCCCCAATGAACAGAGGTTGGTGCAGTAACAAACTGACTGACAATATGAACAGCATGAGCAATATCTGGACGAGTGACTGTGAGATAAACCAAACTTCCCACCACAGTACAATAAAGATTCGGATCAGAAAAAGGAACACCATCAGTAGGAGAGTATCGAGCATTGGTTTCAAGAGGGGTATCAACAGTCCGATTGTCAAAAAGTCCCGCCCGTGTAAACAAGTCAGATATATATTTAGTCTGGGAAAGAAGGTACCCTTTCTTAGACTGAGCGACCTCAATACCCAAGAAATAACGCAGCAAGCCCAAATCCTTCATAGCAAATCGACGAGCTAGATCATGCTTCAAAGACTCAATACCACCATGGTCATCACCTGTAATAATCATGTCATCCACATATAAGGACAAAAGAATCCGTCCTGCACTCGAGCATCTAACAAACAGAGCAGAATCGTGATTACTCTGGACAAATCCAAGAGAGGTAATCATTGTGGAGAATTTCTCAAACCAAGCACGAGGGGCTTGCTTGAGCCCATACAAAGCTTTGCAAAGCCGACAAACCTCGCCCGGTCGGTGCTGAATTCCTGGAGGAGGGGTCATATAAACCTCTTCATGAAGGTCACCATTCAAAAAGGCATTCTTGACATCCACTTGAAAGATCTTCCACTGTCGAACGGATGCGACTGTAATCATAGTATGAACTGTCGTCATCTTTGCAACTGGGGCAAATGTCTCCTCGTAGTCAAAACCATACTGTTGGGAATACCCTTTTGCTACAAGTCTAGCCTTATATCGTTCAACATAGCCATCAGCTTTTGTTTTTATCTTGTACACCCAACGACAACCTATCGTATGTTTCCCAGGAGGAAGAGAAACCAAATCCCATGTATGAGTCTGATGAAGAGCAGTGAGTTCTTCAGCCATAGCATTCTGCCAAAGAGGATCTGAAACAGCTTCTCTATATGATTCAGGTTCAGAAAGATGATGGATGCTTGCTATAAAAGAAGCAAACGATCCTGAATATGTAGAGTAATAAAAATCTGGTAGCTTGGTGGACTTGACAGGACGAGAAGATCTCCTGAGGGGTGGTGGTGGAGGAGGATCCTCAACTTCAATAATCGGAGGATCAGGCTCAGGAACAGGTGGAGTCGAGGCACCCTATGAAGAAGTGGGTGTGTCATGTGTTGAGGGATCATGTGGCATAGATGAGTCTTGAGCCTCTATATCTTCATTAAAAGGATCAATACGCAGAAGATCAGACTTTGTTACATTGTGGGCTGTAGCAGGAATCGAGTAGAAAGGAATATGTTCCAAAAAAGTAACGTGCCGAGAAACATATGACTTCTGACTCACAGGATCATAGCAACGGTATCCTTTCTGACCAATCCCATACCCTAAAAATACACAAATAGCAGATTTCGGCCCCAGCTTGTTCCTTTCAACATGAGGACGAAGAACAAAACAAGTACATCCAAAAACTCGTAAGGAAGAGTAGTCTGGTGGATGACCATATAACTTCTCAAAAGGAGATATTCCTGAA